CTAGGTGGCTCTTGTGCATGACGTCATTACAAGATGGCCACCACAAAGATGGCCACCACAAGATGGCCATGTGCACAGCCTAGGTGGGGCCCAGCATCTGCTCTGCATGGTGAGGCCTGGGGGTCCCACGGCTCCGCACAGCGTGGAGGCGGTGGATCCTGGCGGAGGAGGCAGGTCACGGCAGGGGAGGGCAATTATGGGCAATCGGGCTGACAGGGGAGGGCAGTTGGGGGTGATCGGGCTGGCAGGGGAGGGCAGTTGGGGGGGATCGGGCAGGCAGGGGAGTGGTTAGGGGGCAATCAGGCTGGCAGGCAGAAGCAGTTAGGGGCAATCAGGCAGGCGAGCGGTTAGGAGCCAGCAGTCCTGGATTGTGAGAGGGATGTCCAACTGCCGGATCAGGCCTAAACCGGCAATCGGACATCCCCCGAGGGGTCCCGGATTGGAGAGGGTGCAGGCTGGGCTGAGGGACACCCTCCCCGCCCCCCCCCCCAGTGCATGAATTTCGTGCACCGGGCCTCTAGTTATCTAATAAAAACGATACTTGATGTTCTAGGAATAGATGAAATCACTGAGAAGAGAGCCGAGGACAGAACCTTAAGGAAAGCCTAAATTTTAAGGAAGAAAGGCACATATGGAAACAGAAGGTGTGATTACAGACATAGGAAGAAAACCAGAAGAGAACAGTAGCCTGAAATGCAGGAGTGAATGTGTGCAGTGTCTAGTGCCAAATAGATGCGGATGGGGACTGAGAAGAGGCTAATAATGAACTTAGCTGTAAGGAAATTGCTAATGACCTCGTGAGAAAATAGTTTCCATGAATTGAAGGTGTTAAGGAGTGAGTTGTGAGGAACATGAAGCTGCACATTCTACTTGTCAGAAATAAGTAGGCAGACGGAGAGCTAGAGTGTCAAGGACAGTCTAGAGCAGCGGTTCTCAACCTGTGGGTCGCGTCCCCTTTGGGGGTCGAACAACCCTTTCACAGGTGTCGCCTAAGACCACCAGAAAGATTACATATTTTTGTGATTAATCACTATGCTTTAATTATGTTCAATTTGTAACAATGAAATTGGGAGTCACCACAACATGAGGAACTGTATTAAAAGGTTGCGGCATTAGGAAGGTTGAGAACCACTGGTTTAGAGGCAATCTGTGTCTGTCTGTGTCTCCTGACAGGAGAGGCTTGAGTGTATTCATACCTAGAGGGGAAGGAGGCAAACAAAAGAACAGAGACCGAACGTATAGAGTGGCCCAGCTCTGGCTCTTACATGGTTAGCGAAGTTGGTATTCCATACAGAGCAAAGCATTTGTTAGAGAAGTTGGTATTGGGTACAAAGCAAAAGCATTGCTGGTTGTTCTGTTTGTCATTTCCCTGCTCTGCAGCAGGCATACCCCCCTTCCCCAGGAACCCAGGGTGTTGTGTGCAGCCCTGCCCCCTAGATGAACTCTACTCTTTTTTTATTGAAGAAAGTGCACTAATGCAAGTAAGAGACATTATCATATGGGCATAACCTTAAATATGTTGCTTAGACAAACTCATTCTTGAACATCAGCACTTGATTTTTGATGCCAAATGAGTGACAGCATGGCTCTCGAGGCTCTGGCACACCCAGCACATCATACCATCACCTGTGGCCAAGAGCCGATGTTCAAGTGGCCATTCCAGTTCTCAGGTCAGAAAACTCAGCCTCTCCAGGGGTCTGTGAGCTGCCCTCTGACCTATAGATTATCTCTTATCCACACACCCACACCCACACCCAGGGAGAACAGTAATGAGGGAAGGGAAGTGCGGCAGCCTGGGAGGACACTGCACCCCATTCGCCATCCCCAGCCCCACGCTGCCCCTTCACAAAGGCCTTCTGAGCAGTTTCTTTCCCTATCCTCACCCTGTCCGTCTCTGCCCCTACTTTTTATTAGTTTGTGTTTTTTTAATTTTAGCCATATTATAAAAATTCAAAAGGCTAGTTTCATTTTTCTTATAAGACAGACTTTTAAAGCCCTACAGAGTATTCTAAAATGTAGCATTCTTCCCTTTAGGGTTATTAATTGCATCTTAATATGATTTCTGTGTCATTTGAAAAAACCTTTTTCTTAATTGTTTATTAATGTTATGTTATATTTTCTCATATCTCTTGGAAATAAAATGTTACCCAAAAATAAAATTCATTTTTTTAGCACTTGTTATTTGTAAAAATATATTCACTGTGTCTCTTCAAGTAGTCTTTGCAGGTTTTGTGGTACATGTAATTTAGGGTACATTTAGTAAGTTGAAGGGTTAAAATATCCTGTGCTGTCGCATATGGCAGTGAGCAGAATCGCAGATGTTGATGATACCACATAATTAGTATTCTTTTATGTAAATGAAGGCTGTCAGCATGTTACCATAGTGTCTACTCTCTCTGAAGCTGGAATTTATGCCACTTGGTCTCACCAAGACCAGGCAGGATTATTCCACTGTCCTTAGTTAAGAACTGAAAAGAGATTAATGCAATGAGAGAGAAGATATGGAAATTTCCTTAAAGTAGATAAATTCTCTTTATTTTTTTTCCTATTTTGCTTTTGCTTATTCCCCCCCCCCCCCTGCCCCCAGAAATTTTATTTCTGGTGATGCAGAAATGCATTTAGGATGAGCTAAGAAATTTCCTATTTGAGAATAATTGGAATAGTTCAATTAAAAGACAAATCATATTTTCAAGCTATAGATTTTTGAATGATTATAGTGTTCAGTCATCTCATACAGAATTTTTTTAATGACGTGATAAATCTAGAAATTTCTCATCAGAACAGAAAGGAAGAATTGAAAAGATTTTATCTTCTTTTAATTTATTATTTTAGAGATAATAACCATAGTATGATCCTTTTAAATAATCATAGTTTTTAGCTCCAATTGATTCCGATTTTTAAAATAAAACTGTGGTAATTAAGGGAGTAAACATTCATATTTTATTAGGTTTACTTTATATACAGACAGATCCAAGGTGTGCAAGACATTTATTTAAAGTTTCTGATCTACCTAATGATCCAGAACAGTTAAAAGCACATCATGTTCTTTCCCAGTTACACTGCAAGTTTATCTCCTTTGGGTTTTGGGTGCCTGTCACACTGGAAAAGGTGTACATGTCCGAAACATGTAAAATAGAGTTCCTTTATGCCTGTGGGTGTTAGGCCTTGTTCTTAAATAAAGTGGAAATATTGTCTTTCTTGGATTGAGTAACCAGAGATACTGTGTTCTGCTTATTCTCTATTTTGTGTGTTGATTAAGGTGGCTTTTTTGTGTGTCACTTTTGGGTAATTTCCATTTTATGATCAGATATGTTTTCCCTCTAGAGAAGCTAGTCTGCCCAGCTGAAATCAGTGTGGTGAGGTGCAAAGTACCCCTGTGTTCTCCTGAATGGATTTACTCTGCCATATGGCAGGTTAGTAAGTCCCCACGACAGATTTGTAATGGGAAAAGGGCTGTGCAGGAAAGGATGTGCGTGATCAGCAAATTTATAGATCAGAAAATGAAATCAGAAGAAAGTGTTTCCAGAGCGCACTTTCCATTTGATGGCCCTCCATGGAGAGAGTATGGAATGGTCTTTTTAGTGTTTTTCTACTTTGGCTTTTAGTTATTCCAGCATATTTTTTCTAACACAGGAGTTGATTTCATTAAGGCCTCCGTGTTCTGGTGTTGTGTTGCTATATTCCCATTCATGGAAGTATTCTCTGTAGGATTTGAAGTTGTGCTGTGTTTCATGTGATCTCAGTAGCAATTAAATTCCTAAAGACACATCAACCCTCCTATTGACTAAAATATGTGGACTTGCCAAGTTTTGAGTTATAAGAAGCTATTCAGATATGATTCAGTGAGTAATGAACCTTTCACAGGAAAGAAAACAAAAAGAGAAGCTGAGTGAGCTAAAGATAGTATGTCCTGGTAGATTTAAGTCTGTGCTATCTAATATTGCACTTACTAGCTACATGTGGCTTTTTAAATTTAAATTAATTAAAAGTAAATAAAGTTAAAAGTTCAGTCCTTCAGTCTCACTAGCCACATTTCAAGTGCTCAGTTGGCTGATTAGTACAGTATTGGGCAGTGCAGATAAAGAACATTCCACCATTGCAACAAGTTCTTTGGGGCATTGCTGGTCTAACTGGAAGATTTTGAGAAAAACAGTTCTTTCTTTGATTTCTATGAGGAGTTCTTCATTCCTATATAATTTACTAGATTTAGTGCAGCTGTTTTAAGGTTTTAATGTACAAATGAATCATCTGTAGACCCTGTTTAAAATGCAGATTTTAGACCCCTCCCCAGACTCTTGATTCATCAGATTTGGAGTCGTGACCAGAAATCTGTACATATAAGTACCCTAGGGAATTCTGATGCTCACAGGTGGTTTAGGAACTACATCGATTGGTTGCCTCCTGCACACCCCGACCAGGGCCCCCGCGGGGGAGGAGGCTGCAACCAAAGTTGGGAATCCAACTGGGGACCCTTTGGTCCCCAGGCGGAAGCTCTATCCATCCACTGAGACAAAACGGCTAGAGCTGTCCCTTCATACAACCAGAATCTTGATTAGTATTCCCTCCAGGACATCATCATTTCAGAAATGGTTTAGAATACAAGTTTCTTTCCCTTGTTGACCAGTTGGGTGCCATGTGAAATAAGGGTAATGACTTTCCTAAGGAACACAAAATCAGCCTCACATAAAAATTAGTTGATAGCCAAGAATTAAAACAGGCTTAGAAAATTTGAAGTTTCAAATTGGTGGTAGGCCCTTCCCCCTGTATTTTATAATTCTTCGTTTTTAAGTGACTTAACTGTCTTTCTGTAATTCTCATTCCATACTAAATGTGCTTTATTTTTTTAAAAAACTTACTTCCAAAGGAACCAATTTTGAATTGAAAACTAATAAGCATTGAGTTGAAAATGCCAGTAGCAAGCCTTTTTCTAGGAAAATATTTTGCTGAAAGCTTTTATTTCTCTCTCTCTCTTTTGGGGGGCCCTGTTGTGCCAGGTTGAAAGAGTGGAGCCTTCTGTGAGACATGGATAGATGCAAACATGTAGGGCGGTTGCGGCTGGCCCAGGACCACTCCATCCTGAACCCTCAGAAGTGGTGCTGTAGGGAATGCACCACCACCGAGTCGGTGTGGGCTTGTCTCAAGTGCTCGCACGTGGCCTGCGGTCGCTACATTGAGGACCACGCCCTGAAACACTTTGAAGAGACTGGACACCCACTAGCCATGGAGGTCCGGGACCTCTATGTGTTCTGTTACCTGTGCAAGGACTACGTGCTCAATGATAACCCGGAGGGGGACCTGAAGCTGCTGAGAAGCGCTCTCCTGGCGGTCAGGGGCCAGAAGCAGGACCTGCCGGGGAGGCGAGGTCGGACTCTGCGGTCCATGGCCTCGGGCGAGGACACGTCCCCGCCGCCACGCACTCCTCAGGGACAGCCGCAGATGCTCAGGGCTCTGTGGTACCGGCGCCAGCGCCTGCTGGCCAAGACGCTGCGGCTCTGGTTTGAGAAGAGCTCCCGCGGCCAGGCAAGACTGGAGGAGCAGCGGCGGGAGGAGGCCCTGGAGCGCAAGAAG